GTATTTGAGATAAATAAGCCCCCTGGGGAGCTTAGTAGAGGATATACAGTATTAACCTTTGTTCTCATTGTCTTTGGATTGGTCTTATTTGGTTCTTGTGTGGTGTTATGAAACTCAAACAAGAGCTGTATTGATGAGCTTTCTGCATAATATAAAGAGTAGCAACTGTGGGAGTGCCAGAGTTTATTAAAATTACAGTGGAGCCCTTCTAATTTGAACTCCGTAGAGGAAATAAAAAAATGGTTGAAGTTAGCAGGGGTTTGAGTTAGCTGATAGAAAGTGACTGAAAAAATGCAGTAGAGGGATCTCTGGTCTTGTTCAAGTTACCATAGAGTCAGAGTTAGCAGAGTTCTACTGTGCCTTCGGGAATCAGTAGTTTTGTTGCATCCAATCTATGCAATAAGAGGGAGAAAATTAGAAAGCTAGGTTAACACAGTGCTAGAGAGCAGTGCCTTGCTAGACTGCAATTCTTTTGAAATTAACATCAGTTCAGTTGCATAAATTTTGATATTTTGTAAACCGGAAAGCCAATATAACAAAGAGCCAGAGAGCAGTGCCTTGCTAGGCTGGAATTTTTCTGAAATTAAAATCAGTTCGGTGGCACAAAATTTTGGTGATTTGGAATTTCTTTTTTTTTTTCAATAACAGTAACTGGGTGACTTATTGAAAGAGGGCGCATTTTTGTTTATTAGTTACAACATGGAAACAAGGGCTAACTTTTGATATGTGATAAGTATGACATCATCTTGGGATCTTTATTTAAAAGGTTTGACCTCTGGATTGAAATAAATTTATTTGTAAATATTAATCTGCCTTTGTTTTTTGCTTCATTAGCATTTTACATCTAATCGAAGATGAAGTGTTGGTACGTAGCACTCCAGCCTTAGACCATTTCAGTTGCTATGGTTTTAGGGAAAAACTTTTGGCATCTAGATTTGCAGCAAATATCATAATCTTGGTGACCTGTTAAGCAAGCTGTAATCTTGTTATTACATACTGAGAGAGATTCACTGAGAATTAATTAATTTAATAATTTCTCACAACCACTTTACAAGTCAGAAGTTTGAGCTTAGAACCTTTTTGTTGTGTATGAGACATGGAAATAAAGGGAAAATTTACAACAGTGAGAAATGTAATTCCTACAAATTTCCATAATAAAGACTGTAAATTGCACAATTTTATTGGACTCTTTCAGAAATACAGGCAGGATTTATCATTCTTGGCCTGACTTGGTGAAAATACTATCATTTTTGAGTTTTCGAGGCCAGAAATGCTAATTAATTTTCCTTAATTGTCTCCCATTTCCCTTTAACTCCCATGAGTGACCAAGACAGAATTTTTTTCCTTACACTATCAGTACAACATCAAACAATCAACTGATGAGAATAAAAAAAATGTTTAAATCAGAGCCGAGTCTTCCAAAGGCTGACTAGTGCTAACTCAGGGTTAAATTTTAATCCAGGTTTCTCTATTTCTCTGTTAAAAAGCCGTTTGGGATCATTTTCCCTCTTCGTATTAGAGTATTCAATCATTGAATTGTGGACAAATGGAATCAAACTGAATTTTCTTTTAAAGCTTTCAGATCTGAAATAAAATTTCACACTAACCCTGGGTTATTTTGACCCACCATCAGGAATTCTACTCTGCAGAGAGTTCTACAGAAAATCCTTGGAGTGAAAGGGTAAAAGAATAGTGATTATACCCACCAGTAATGAATCAAAGAGGGTTAGTCCAAAAGTATGTCATGAAAATAAATCAAAACTTTTTCAAAAAAAATCCGGTCAAATTAACAAATCAAACGGCCAGTTTATTGACTGTTTACGTTTAGAAATTGACAAATGTTCCAAAGAACCCTTGTTTGCATTGAAGTCTATCTGAAAAGCGAAATTTACTAGACAGCAAACATGCAGACTCACCATGCTTTTGATAAATGTAATTAATGGTATTGCCCACCAATTAAATCCCCTTTTAATTGTCTGACTACTACAGCACATTAACCACAAATAGTAAAAGTAGCGATCCATTGCTTATTAAAAATATTGTTACATGCATTTTAGTTTTAAAGATTGACCATTTAAACCAGTACAACTGACACACTCAAGAAGGTTCCTGGCCGATCAAAACTTGTTCAACATCGAAGTAATCTAAGACATTAACTCTTTCAGTCCCCAAAAATCGAAACATCAATTCTCTTCACTCTTCACCATACATTCCTTATAATTGTTACACTTAAGAATTTGTTGTACAAATTCACTCCCAGTTTGTGCAGGAAGTGAAAGACTTATATGGAACTCAACATGGGATGTACAGCGTAGTCTTTCTGAGACTTAACAAGCTAGGATCATGTTTGGATAAATATTTAGGCCAGAGTAAACAATGTAACTGATTTAAACTTAACTTGGTTTATATGCCTTCTGTTGAAATTCGGTTCCCTTGGTGCAAAAGACAAATTACACAGTCAAACAAAAAGTCATGACTTAGATTCACTGTTACACATCATCCATTGGTGACATGAAGTCCCCAGATTATAATCTGATTTATTGCACTACTCAGGCAGTCAGAGGGCTTATAACTAAAATCAACCAATCAAAATGCTCTATTGCCGGTCCAATATTCTCTCAGTGTTGGACCGGGCACTGTCCCAAATGGTCCCGAATGATACCGCACTTGTGTCCCTTTGAACCTCAGTCATATAATAAATCTCTTATTAACCAACCTTGCTTTGGACTAGAAGAATATCGGCCCTCGGTCTTTTAAGTACGGACCCAGCGCAGCTCGGTCCGTACTGTCAAGACCTCGGGCCAATATTCTCCCAGTACGGCCCTCGCACTTGGTTAATAAGATATTTGTAACAAGAGCAAGTACTGGTAATGGTAATATGAATGAAAATAATAGTTATTATTGATTTCGACATCAGTATTTCAAAAATAATATATTCTAATCTATCTCTACAATTATTTAGTAACTTTTTTATTTACACAAAAGAGAAAAAGTGAAAACACAAATTTTCTTTTCATTAAAGATCCAAGGGACAGTCAACACTTCTGAAAAGTTTCCTTTAACAAAACCTGAGCTGACATGATACACTTTCCTATCTCTAAACTTTTATGTAAAATGGAAGAGAGGGTTGAAGTTAGAATTCAAATCAAAGGCTTCTGTGCTTCAACAGTTTTCTTTTTCTTCTAAAATGCTTTGTTTAAAGGTTTAGACTGGAAGCTAGAAGTATCCATTTCATAGCATATGTTTGAGCAGAGAATTTTCTACTTGAACATGAGCTCTGTGTTTTTGAAACTCATGTTTTATTAGTTACGTAGAGTCTGTTTTCTCACCTTTCACCAAAAACAGGGCTCAACACTAACAGTAGCCAACTTGTCACAGACTAGTAGAAATTCAGTTTTGGCTAGTGGTTTTGAATTTCTGCCAGCCAGTTTGGCTAGTAAACAGACTGAAATTGTTGTAACGTCTAAGTTGTCACTAGTCACTTGGTTAGTGAGTTCAAAAGTTAGTGTCAAGCCCTGAAAAAGGTGAGGATTCCTTAAATTTTTGCAATTTAAAAAAGATCACTCAGCTTGTCTACCTATACATCCCTTATAAGTGAAGATACAGTAAATCCTTTAGTGTAAACTGATAAATTTTTCAACAGTCTTAGGAACTACACCAAAATAAGACAATCCAAATTTTCGTACCGCTCGCGCAGCAATGCATTTCAACTCCAGTCTGCTTTTGGTAGAAAGAAATCTACGAGCCTCGTCTGTTTCAGCTACATCCATGGCTGTTTTACCGTCACTGTTAACGAGATCTTCATGCACTCCTCCGTCCAACAGGGTTTCCAATACATCCCGCAACACTTGTAGACCTCCAGTGCTGGGTTTATAAGTCACTGCCAAATGAAGAGGAGTGTTTCCTTTGTTGTTGACGGCATTTACATATCCACCAGCATTCATGATGAGTTTCATGGTTGCAACGCAAGGAAATTTGCACACATCTCGCACATAATGTTCCTCTGTAGGAGTCTTGGACCATACAGCTAAATGCAACATTGTATTACCTTCAAGAGTCCTTGGATTCAAGCGCAGAAATCTTTCGATGAGATCAAACAGAGCTGAGTTTTCAGTTTTACTAGAATCTTGGACTTTGGCAAAGATTGTGAGAAGATAGAGTGCACGATAAACTACATTCTCAAGTTCCTCTTTTAGTAGTTTAGTTTCATGTTCACCTTTCAGGTTTTTGGACTGCATTTTTTCTGTGAGTCTTTTGTACTCACAGATTGCTCTTTCAAAGACCTCTTCAATGTACTTTTGCTTTGGAAGACAATTTCTCTGCACCATATGGCAAAAGAAGTCAGCAAATATCTTGAGATCATCTGTGATTGGTTGATTACAGCGCTGGCCAATTTCCATGGCGTGTCCCCACAAGCCAATGCAAAGATCAAAGTTGCCAGAATCAGCAAAAACAGCCCCACGATATCTAATTGGAAAGCGAAGCTCTGTATTGTCAGTTCCAAGAATTCTCTCTCTAATAATTAGTCCCTCCATATGGATGGCATGATCATCACCTTCTAACAGAGCAAGTTCTTCAAGAGTCTGACTCTCTCTTTTATTTTGGTAGACTTCAAGAGGTTCCATTTTCTTTTTGAGCAGTGGTTGTGACGGGTCCTTGTACCTCTCTTCCATTCCCCTTTTCATGTAACTGAATGCTTTTTCAATATCATAAACATCAGGCTCGTTTGCAATGGTGGCTCCCAGAAGCTCCAGCCCTTCAATTCTCTGCTCCTTTGTGCATTCAGGTCTCTCGATAAAATACTCCACCATTTCGATTTTACAGTCATTACTGGCCAGAAGAAGTGGCGTCAAACGCTGAATATTGGCCAGTTGTGATACTCCAAGAGCCAATAGCTCATTGGCAATTTCAAAGTGGCCCCTTTCCACAGCATAATGAAGGACAGTATTACCTTGTTTGTCTTGCAGATCCATATCAGCTCCTTTTTTGATAAGGTAAGTGACAACATTCATTTGGCCATTATAGCAAGCCACCATGAGAGGAGTATTCTCAAAATTATTGCGTGCATTGACATCGGCACCGTTCTCAACCAAACAGCTTACAATATCAAGCCGTCCATCATAGGCAGCAGCCCTTAAGGGAGTCGAATTTGTCAGTGTTCTTCCATCGACATCCGCGGTTCGTTCTATCAACAGTTCCACAACTTCAAGGTGCCCTGTAGCAGCTGCGGCCCACAAAGGGGTGCATCCCTCGATCACTTGGTCATCAACCTTGACAGTGCCTCGAGCCTCGAGGTCTGCTTTGTACCTTAACAGCATCTTCACCGAGTCTAGGTTGCCATTGCGTGCGGCGATGATCAAGGGAGTGGTGATTTGGTCGCCATCTTTAGTTTTAGTCTCCAAAGCGGTGCTTCTTTCGGTGAGGTTCATCCGATGAAGTATATCACTGAGTAGAATAACGGCGCCATCTCGAGCCGCCTCGTACACCTTTGGCTTTGGGTTGAGCAAGTCTCGCCACGACTGGCCATCCATTGTCGACATAATCAGCCGAAAACTTGGTACACAACAAACAAGGCAAACTTCCTGCCGCCTCTCAGGGAAAGCGAAAGAACTTCAAAGACAGATTTCACTTTGTGGGAGAAGTGTTAAAACCTCTTAAATAACAGCAATTCGTCTATTTTAAAGAGTAAATCCTTTAAGATATCTCTAGAAATGACTTGCTCTCGGGCATATTTTGCCATGCTATGTAGAGACAAAGACAAGGCACCCCTCCGCCATTTTCCTTCAAACTGGAGTTCAGTCCTAAACGGCCACTTAAAACAACCGGAAGAGAACGGATACCGAAAGCGGAAGCGCCGTTTAACCAGAGATTTCTCTTTTTCCCTCGCATTACTCCACGCTTTCTCCTCGAAATCGTATTGATTTTGTAAAGGGCAAGCCATCAATGTCACATAGCCTATAATCTTAGATCTGAGATTTGGTGTGAAAATCAAAAGATATCCTCTAGTCGAAATTTTCCAGACTTTTCAGCAACTTTCTGCGTTAAACTTCAGTGATATTGTAAGGAGAAATTCATTCTTGGTTACTTCTCGGAGTGACTGGATTAAACCCATATCAAACTGAAGGTTTCCACAATATGCCATCGGTAAAATGAAATGCAACTCAATAACTTTACAATTACGGTGGAAACTGAATAAGTTCTATTTCACAGGAATTCGTAATCAAGAAGTTATCTTGCACTCTGCGAAATTACAGTGTGATTTCTACGAATGTTTATCTTTAACTTAATGAACATTTGAAGGGACGATAAAAACGCTAAACAACAAGTAGCGTTATCAAGCTCAATTCACCGAACAATGACGACACAAATTTCTGTTTGGTCAAAGTAAGTCAATCTTGTGCCTTTCATGCGTAAACTGCATCAAACAGCGTTCCCCAGAAATCAACCAATTTTTTAACGGAAAAAGGCTTTGTTAATCTTAACATTGTTTATCTTTCAGGAGCAACTTCATTTACATATGTCGGGAGGCTTTGAAGAGTGAGGTCTAACACAATAGACGCTATTCTTATTTAATGACATGAAATAAATGGGTCAAGAAGCTTACTTGAGCCAGATTCGTACCGTGACAACTGAAGTGAGAAGCTTTCGCGTGTGAAAGGCTGCGAAATGTGTTGTGACCTTAAAGGTTATGGTTGATTTGCCTACGTGCTTGGCGTACGCTTGTGCTATTTTGGGCTCCAGAGAGACTGTGAGGCAAAGGTTTCAGTTCTACGTGAAGCCGTTCGTGAAATGGGAAGTGTTCCATCGCATGGTCTCGCTAAAAATCCTACAACTCAAGTCTACCAAGCCTCTCGCGACGGTCGAACTAGTGATCTCGACAATTTTTTGAAACAGCTAGACGGGAGAAAGAGAAAGAGTGCGCTAGAAACCAAAACTAAAGATGGCGATGATTTCACCACTCCGCTAGTCATCGCCGCTCGTAACGGAAACTTAGATGCTGTGAAGATTCTTCTAAAGTACAACGCTGATATTGAAGCTCGAGCTGGAACTGTCAAACTTCAAGACAAAATAGATGTCGCGGGTTGTACAGCTCTGTGTGCTGCTGTTGCTTCAGGACATCTTGATGTTGTGAAAGTGTTACTCAAACAAAATGCAAAGGTCGATGAAAGAACATTGACAAATTCGACTCCCTTGAGGGCTGCTGCATATTTTGGACGATTAGAAATTGCAAGGTTGTTGGTCGAAAACGGAGCAGATGTTGACGCAAGCAAGGGAGGTGACGGTACATCATTGTCAGTAGCTTGCTTTCATGGTCACACAGGTGTTGTTAAATTCCTCATCGAACATGGCGCCAATATGAATGTTCAAGACATTGACGGAAATACTCCTCTTCACGATGGCATGAGAAAGGGCCACATCGAAATCGCTGATAAACTCCTAAGTCATGGGGCGTTGCAGCTTCAAAATAAACATCGCCTCACACCACTTCTCATGGCCAGCAATTGTTGCGAAATCGAAATGGTCGAGCATTTTATCAAACATCCGAAGTGTACGAAGGAACATAGAATTGATGCTCTTGAGCTCCTTGGTGCCACCATTGCAAATGATCCTGATGCTTATGACATCGATGCGGCATTTTGGTACATAAAACGTGGAATGGAGGAGAGATTTCAAGATAAGTCACATCCATTGCTCAAACGACACAGGGAACCTAATGAAGCTTACCAAAATAGAAAGGAGAGTCAAACTCTCGAGGAGCTTGCTCTGTTAGAAGGCGATGATAACGCAATCCACATGGAAGGACTAATTATAAGAGAGAGAATTCTTGGCAGCGACAACAGTGAGGTTTGTTCTCCATTGAACTATCGAGGAGCTGTTTTAGCTGATTCTGGTAACTTCGATCATTGTATATCATTATGGTATCATGCACTGAAGATAAGAACGCGTTGCAATAAACCGGTAGCAATGTATTTAGAAAACTTTGCAGGTTTATTTGCGGACATGATCTCTAGAAAGCTTGTTTGGGAGATCAATTTATTGCAAGAAATTTTCGAACAACTAGTTTCAGAGTACGAAAAACTCACAGAGAAGTTGCAGAACAGAAATTTGCAAGTAGGATATGAAGAAGTCAAAGCGATCGAACAGGAATTAGAAAGATTGACTTACTGTGCTCTCTATCTTTTAATGATATATCCGAAAGTCACACATGCAGTAGAAAACCAGAAGCTAAGCCGATTACACTTAGTTCAAAGATTTATTCGCCTTGTTCCCCGCACTCGAGATGGAGATACCCTTCTACACTTGGCAGCGTGTTACAGCACCGCAATAAAAGATTTCCATGTACGAAGTGTGTGTAAACTTCCATGTGTTAAGACCGTGACCGTTCTTTTGCTTGGAGGTGTTGATGTGAATGCTGTTAACCCCAAAGGAGACACTCCTCTTCATGTGGCTGTGACCTTTAAGCCAAGTCCCAAAGAAGCAGATACTTTGAAGGCCATGTTGGAATTGTTGTTAGACTCTGGCGCAGATCCAAAACTTAAAAATATCTATGGCCTAACCGCAATGGATTGTTGCGCAACCGACGATTCCCGCAGAATCCTTTCTGACAGAAGTGGAGTGGATATCACGACCATTGAATCTAGAGCTGTAAGCAAGTATTTTGTCTATTAACATATTCATTTTCTTATCATCACTGATAACACATAAAAGCAGTCATGCGAGTATGCTGTTCATATAAATGTTTCTTTCATCAAAGTAGGAAAATAGAAGAGCTTGCAGTCACTATAATTGATTCAGACTTTCAAAAGTAAAGTTTTAAACCAAACAACAATCCATTTCTCTTTGTATGTCAATCATTTCAACCATCACTTCACAGTCTGTAAAACTGATGTTTTCGACGTACATTTGCAACTTTACTTCACACTGAAAATATCAGTTGCATGCGAATTAAAATACTTTACGTCCTTCTTTTTAAGCAGACCGACTTCCTTCATTCCAGTCCTCAGGATCCTGTGGGTCAGTCCACAACCATAAACCAATCCAGTGGTATTGTCAAACTTGCCGTTCTTGGAAAGGACTGGTGTTTTCCGTTTACGGCTTTTTCCTACCTAACAAAAGAGTTTGCTGTTCACTTAGCAAAACATCATGGACTAGAGGTCATTTTCCTGGTTCCAGACAAGTCCTTGAGTGAGGAAGATAAGAAAGAGGCTAACAGCCGTGGAATTACCATTGTTGAAGCAAAGGCGCACCCAGGTTTTCCTGATCCAGTTGATTGGCTATGCTTTCCTCCAAACGACTTTTTTGCGGATGTGGTGGTTGCTTTAGATGACAATCTCGGTAAAATTGCATACGTGTTAAGCGAGCATCTTCGATCAAGAAAGAGGATTCAGATGGTACACAGCTTGAACACCGAGACAGGAACATTCTCCTTCAGATTATACTGCTTGTCTAACGAATCCGGCAAACTTTCCTCCAGCAGACGAAAACATCAAACAAACATTGGCATGTGTGAAAGAGCAGATCTTGTTGTTGGCCTTGGATCTAAGATAGCTGACGAGCTTAATGCTTCTCTTCGGTACCTTAACAAACAAGTTGTCAACCTAACGCCTGGAATTTTTAGCGAATTGTCTGATATGACTCATGCTAAAGAGGATGGAAGAAACTTCCGCATCCTGGTTCTGAGTGGCAACGAGTCTGCAGAGTTATTCCATGATCGATTTCACATCGCCGCCAAAGCGATTTCATTGCTGAGAGACAAAACTTTTTATCTGGTTTTTACTGGGGTGAAAAAAGATAAAAGCGACTTCTTAAAAAAGTGTTCTGAATGCAATGTCGCTGAGCAGCAACTGATTATTAAGAATTTCCCCGTTAGCGAAAAAGATTTAAAACGCCTGTTCTGTGAAGTAGATCTTGCCATCTTGTTGTCAGCTGAAGACGAATGTCGTTTGATTGCTCTGTGTGCCTTGTCGGCAGGCCTTCCCTTGTATGCATGCGGAGACTCGGCATTTGCAGCATCCCTAAAAGAGGTACCTTTAGGTACAGCATCAATAATTGACTCTGAAGATGCTAAAATATGGGCCGACTCAATCAGGAAGGCCAGAGAAACAGACAGGGAAATTCGACTCGAGCAGGCTACGATGTTGCGCTCCCAATTTGAAGAGACGTACAACTGGGACAAACAAGTTGACAGTCTAGTAAAGAAGATTTTGGACATGCTTCAAGGTATCACTTTTCGGTTTATATTACCGATTTTGACATTTGACATAAGCTATTCTACCCGATGAATAAGCTCTTCTCCTTTTTCAAGTTGCTATAGTACCAAGTGCGGTCCAAGTTGGTTTGTCATCATACGACCGATTCGGAAGTTTAGTTTGCAAATCATTCGACGTATGATTTAAGACCCAACTGAACGGCACAAAGTCATGTTATTAATTTATCAAAACTAGGACATAAATAGGCCAGACAATACCAAACAGCTAATCCTGCTTTAAAAAATGAAACCATTGCAATCAATACTTTTTCCTCTAGAGGGTGAATCCAATCGTCGATTTTATGGCGCGTGCAAACGACGTCATCATCCAACTACACAAGCCGGCGTGACGTGAAAACATACCCCTCACCCCTCTTGTTGTAAGCATGACGTGTGCTCTGTTCTGTTTGTGCTGTTGATAACCAATAATGTGTAAATCTTTTATCATAGCGTTAAGTGAGATGATTTTCGTCTTGTTTCGGCAGGCGATTAAAGTGGAGGAATTGAAAACGCAATCGTGGTATGCCGGTTATTTTCAACCATGTGACGGACTGAAATACAGCGTCGAAAGTTCATGCACAATTGACTCGAAGGAAAGGGTGACAAAAAATGGAAACAAGTTGAAGTAGAATTTAATAGCGGTTATGTTTTTATTGTCGTCTTCAATTGCTAAGATAGAGATACGAGGAAGAACTGTTGATACATCATACAGGCTGGAGCCATATAGCTCCTGATAATGTTTTTTATTGCGTACGCAGCACGCAGTACCTCGAAAAGTAATGAAATTGCATCCTCTTTTCAAGGAGAAATGGGAATCGCGCAAATTTTAGATTACGATTGAAACGATTTTCGTACGCTTTTGGTAGAGTAAAATGTCTTCATCAAAAAGTTTCTTAGATTTCTGGGGTGTAGGTTGAAAACGTTTACAAATGAGCCCACTTTTCACTCGTCCTTAGAGATAGTTATATGTCGCATATGGTTTTAATAAAAATTTGGTCTTTCGAAGCAGATTTAGTCTGAACTAATTCCTAGGTATGCTAGATGAAACTGTGCAAGAAGGGATACTGATCGTTAATTGATATAATTGCTTAGCTAGAAGCACAACATTGAACACATGGCAGTGCTGCGGAGTGAATATACCGTTACAAAATATTATTTCACACTAGAAATGATTCAGAGAACTGATGATGGGATTCATAACGGCAGTGACCTGAAATATGGTATTTCTATCAAGACCAAAACCTGAAATATATCATCGCAACTATGCACAACCTCACATAGTTAGATATCTGATAACTATTTACCGAAGTGGAAGTGGCGAAGCGGCGAGGTAAATATCCACCGCTAGCCACCGACACTGCAGTGAATAGTTGTTTTAGAATTATATCAAAACAGTGAGACAATATAGCACAAAAAAATGATTTTAACTCATTTCTTCCTGAAACGTTTACAATATTTTTGGCTGTAAATCCCGCGCAAGTTGCTCGGAGGTGCTCCTTCATTAGCAGTTAATTGACAGTCAATTTCCTCTAGTCCTCCCCTTTCATACTCAGTTAGTGATCAATAATCCTTCCTCTGTCCCCCCCTGAAAACCACATGATC